AGTGTGAGATGCTGGGTTTAAGGGCATGTGATTACTAACCCAGTCCACTGATTGGTTTGGCACCGCCTCAATCCGGGTAGCCTAGATACATATAAGGCACAGAAAGAGGTTTGTCTTGTCCCTTGTTGCTTTTCCTGTCTTCTGAATGCAAAGAACTGTTTCTCCTCTGTGACATCCCTCTGTCATGTGCTACCCTGCCTGGGAGGCATCCATCATGGATTGAATCCTCTCCAAACTGTGAGCTAAATAAATCTCTCCCCCTTTAACTTTGGGTGTTGGGTATTTTGTCTCGGCAATAAGAGAAAAAATAACTCAAACCATTTTCATGTTTTTTTTTTGTTTTTGTTTTTGTTTTTTTTTTTTGTTACTGGGTATCGAACTCATGTCCTTGCACTTGCAAGGCAGGCAGCAGAACCACTCAGCTAAATCCCCAGCCCTTTTTCTTTTTTTTTCATGGTGTTTTTAATGATGTCCTTCATGCCTTATCTTTTGGCTACACCAGTGGGATGGGGTGCCTGTTTTTGTGACTGAGATGTTTCTGGAGGTGTCTTGGTGGCTAAAAATTTGGATGGCTTGTATGACAACATTTAGTTCTTGTGTCACAGTGACAGCTTGATTCTGATGCTATGAAACCTTCCCCATGTCCCTTCCTTCACGGTAGTCTGCAAAGAAGACATTCAGCAGTGGTTGTGTTGTTTGGTGTACAGAACTGGTACCAACTGGGGAGCCTAGGGAGCAATACCCACACAGGACCAAGGTGGGTTTGAAAAATTCATCTGTGTCTTCTGCAGAACTAGGGATAACAAGAGAGTAAACTTATAGGGCAGCATGAATCTAAATTAGACCATTGAGTCAGAACATCTGAGACAGTGTCTAGGGTTCATTTTGCAAATGATTTCCAAGGGACTCAAAAGTGCAGCCAGGAATGAGGTCCATCAATTCAATTAAGACTTGTAGGGGCTGGGGATTTAGCCCAGTGGTTCTGTCGCCTGCCTCACAAGCTCAAGGTTCTGAGTTTGATCCTCGGTACCAAAAACAAAACAAACAAAACCTAAACAGATAAGTCTTGTGCTGTTCAGTCTTCTTCAGTTTGTGGTATGCTTTACTGGTGGTCCCCACCTGCAACCTGGAGAAAGAAGAGCAGATGGGTCAGAGGGAGGGCAAGCCCAAGTAGAAACAGTGGAAAGGAAGTTCCTGGGGCTCTAGTGGTTATTGTTTTGTAAGGAGTTCCATGGTCTTGATGAATTTCTTCAGCAAGTGAAGTCATTAATTTGTTTAAATAAGGATTGGGGCACCCAGAAGCAATAACTTTAGTGAGCAGTGTAAGAATGGAGTTGTCATTTACTGACATGGCCAAGGTTACAGGAACCAGTTCCACTTTGAACATAAAACGTGTATCATATACCATGGAGTAGGCAGTTGGATATATGTGGTGTGATGGAAATATATGGTGAAGATGTAAATCAAACATTTATCACATTTAAAGATGCTTTACCATTAATCCTCCACAAAAGTGTTCCCCCTCTCTAAACACACGTCACATTGCTCTTGCCACTCTCTGAAATTCTGTAAGTCATCTTTCATGTCTTTGTGAGGTAAGATAAAAAATATGGTGCATATGGCTATTGAGTGCCACCTAACAGAAAGGCAGTCTTGTAAAAACATTATTTACCAGACAGGGCGCGGTGTGACTTCCGGCTCTTTTTCAAAATCCAAATAACTATGATAAGCAAATGTTTTGAATTGATTCAGGACATTGCAGTCGCCACAGAAATGTGAACGACACTCATGAAAGAGGATTTCTAGAACTACTTCCAAAAAGTGGCAAGGGGGATGGGATAAGTGTTTTTGAAGCAAGGGGGTAGTATTTTAAGAGGGATTAATGGCAACGTGTCTTTTACTGGTATACATGTTTATAAACATAAGCATTTCCTGTAGTAGTTTTCTATCATGCCCTGTATGTCTGAAGTCAGAGGTGGAAATATAAATTTGGGAATCATGAAAATGGAGATTGTATTTAAAGCTATGGACTGGGTAAAATCCCCTAGTGAGTGAAATATTGGCTTTCTGGAACCACATGAAAAAGGAGCTTATAGGATGTAAGGGTTTCTCTGACATGTACTTAGGAGGCTGCTTGCTGAGTCATAAAACACAATGATTTTTCCCCCTAAATGCTGCCAGATCACTCTATGGAATGTATTTACCAGTTTGGATCCCCACCCACAGCACATGAGGATTCTTATTTCCCCACATTGTTGCCAGGATTTGGGATCATCTTTCTGACTTCTCTCCTCACCGATGGGTAGAGTAACGTGTGCTGGGGTGGTGTATGGAGTTGGCAGAACACATTTCTTCCCAACTTGTATTGTTCAGTAATCTCATGCTGGTGGCATGGAACCAGCATCAGCGAAGGTATTTGCATCACAGAAATTGTCAAATACTACAAACGAGGACTTCCTCTACCGCCAGAGAGCGGGTATTACGTCCCTACCAGCGCACCAGTGGTTATGGCAGTATCACATTGTCTGCATTTCCATCCTCTGAGTTTGAGCATCTCTCTCTGCTTCCTTACCATTCCGGCTTTTTCTTCTATAAACAACCTACTCTCATGCTTTTTTTCACTTTTACGTTAGCTTTTCTGACTGCTTTTGCTGATTTGCAAAAAGTTCCTTATATATATCATGTTTGTTTTTGTTCTTTGGTACCGGGGATCGAACTTGGGTCCTTGTGTTTGAGAGGCAGGTGGCAGAACCACTGAGCTAAATCCCCAGCCTAAGCTTTTTATTTTTTTGTATTGGGGATTGAACTCAGGTCCTTATATATTTCAGATATGAATCCCTAGTTGCTTTTGAACATACCTTCTCCCAATTTGTTAGCTCTTTTCTCTATCATATTTTCAATTAAAGAGAAGCCTTATTGTGATACAGTGAAATACATCAATCTTTTGCTTCATGGTTTATGCTTTTACAGTAATGTTTTTTTTTTCCCCCTGTTTTTGTGGAGCTGGGGATTAAACCCAGGGCTATGCACATAGTAGGACGAGCTCTACCACTGGGCTACAACCCTGCTCCTGTGGTTGTTTTTGTGATGTAAATTCTTACCCCACATTTATAGAAAGAGTCTCCAACTGATTTTTCTACCTTTCATGTATCAGTAGTTAGTGTATCTAGATTTTCTCTTTGTATATAGCCAATGTGGGGTACGTGACAGCTTTTCACTAGTTTCCTCAACACCATCGTCGTCTTGGTCTGTGTGCCCCATTTTTGAGTCTTCTTCTGAGCCTGCATTCTGTCTCATTGTTCTGTTTGTTTCTCGAGCAGTACCATACCATTTGTATTACTGTGTCATAATGACACAGTATCTGGCAGGGCAGGATCCCCCCTGTTTACTCTTGGTTTTCAAAATTGACTTATTTTAAAATTTCAAAATTTAAGATTATGTTTTTCTTACATATTTTGTAAGTTAAAATTTTAGCTCCTGCACACTTCAGTTACACCAACACATTGAACTCAGGGATTACATTGATATTTTTGTAATGTAAAATCATGCTGTTGATGGTATATCTATTGCTTCACTTTTTCTGTCTTTTTATGCTTTTAAATAATGTTTTAGAATTTTCTCCATAAAGTTCTTGGCAAGGTGTTAGGCTAATTTCTGGATATTGTGCTTTCCCCCCTCCCTTTGGTGGTGCCTGGGATTGAACCAAAAAGCCTTCACACTGAACTATATGCCTAGTCCTTTAAAAAAAAATAAAATTATTTTGTGTTCCTAAGTTACCCAGGCTGGGCTCCAACTCACAGTCCTCCTGCCTCAGCTTCCCAGAGTGCTGTGATTATAGGTATTATCACCGTGCTCAACTCTGGACGTTGGATTTTAAAGTTTTATTGTTCTTATGAATGGTCTATTATTATCTAGTTCCTACTTGCTTGAGGATGATATAAATTATTGATTTTTATAAATTGGTCTTGTACTTGGCAACCTTGCTGAACTAATGTGACTTCTAATTGTTTGTTGATTTTCTTGGCTTTTTTTTTAATGTTGATGATCACATTTGCAAACATGACAGGCAGGGAGATTTCAGGGGTACTTCCCAGAACCATTATAGTCTACATTTAACGATGTCAACTAACTGAGGTCCCCATCTGGTGCCCTGATTCTGATAACTGAGTGTCTCCCACAGTCGGAAATGAGTCCCTTCTTCCCCGCTTAGAATAATAGATTGTCCAACCTTCCCGCACACGAAACAGCAATGACTGCCTGCCTCATGCACACAGTTTTCCTCTAACCACCTTCTTCTAGTGTGGGGTCTTGATAGCTGCTGACAGACCTCTATGATGCCGACAGCTTTTCTGAATCCCTGTGCTCTCTGCAGCCAGTTCTTGGGTTCAAAAGGACATTGTATGTAATGATGTAGAACAGTGGACCAATGCAGGCTTTCAGTCAGACTTAGGTTTGCCTCCTATTTCTGCCCTGGGGTACATGGAGTGGTACAGCTTCCTGGAGTCTTGTTTCATCCCTTGTAAAGTGAAGACAAAGTTAGCCCATAGGTAAAGTGCCACGGAGTAGACAAAGGAAAATGGCCTTTTCTGCACGCCGTGACACTGACCACTGATACTAGTTCCTTCCTGTCACTGACGTTTGTTTCTGTCTCATTCGAGAACTTTGTGTCTTGAGATGCAATTGAATCCCAGCAACTGCAGCTGGATTGTATTCCATGTACCTTCCCACTCCACTAGTTCAGGTTCCAAGTTCTGGCTACAGATCCTGGTCCAGTCTCACTCTTTTTAACTGGGAAATTCCTAGATCCAAGGTATGTGTGATGCAGGGAATGTTCCAGGGAGGGTGACTCTGGTGAATGCTTGCATACCTGCTAGGGTGTAACCAGATTTTGGAATAAAGGCAACCAGTCGAGTGGGGCACCCTTTCCCTGGTGACTTGGTGTCCTGGCAATTTGCCTATGTATTGTACAGTGTTTGGGTGTAGCAGAATAAGCCAGTGGCCCTGCTGGTTCTAACAGAGACCTTTCGTATAGCTAAGGACAACTCAGCTAGTCACGCCTTGTCACCTACGAATGGCGGTATCGCAGAAGGACAATCTAAGTGTTAAAAGTGAACTGTGTACCTACGGAAAACTTCAATAGCGCCTTCTGTCAGCAACAGGTCTTTATGAGTTTCTGTGGTTCAATGACAGACCTTGCAAGGGTTTAAACCCACTAGTGCCAGACTGCCTTCCTTTCTTTGAACCAGTTGAAGAGGTGGGAAGGGTGAGAGCAGAGAGGGGTGTGGTAAGACAGGGAAAGGGAGGTGGAGTCCTCCAACGAAGGAGGAAGCATCCATTTCACATCAGCATCCCTGAGAGCGTGTGAAGACGCAGCGCCTGTAGGGACAGGGACACTGGCAGCGGCCCAGGGATGTGGGAAGGGGATGGCATTTAATGTTGCATAAGCAATGTGGGTTTCAGTTGGCAGTGTGCTCCACCCCATTCCACAATGCGATTCGACTGCCACAAACAACTATTTTGAGCTACGTGAACAGAAGCATAGGAGGTAGAAAGTGGTGGAGCCTCTCCTCTGTGCATTTGACAGGCCACCCTTCCGCCCTGTATCACATTTAAGAGCGCTCAAGACAAGCAGGGATGAATCCTGGACAGTCCTTCAGCACGCTGGTGAGTGGGGTCGTGAGCGTGTCACAGAAGGGGCGGCCCAAGGGGCACAGAATACTTGTCCTGGGCATCGGGTCAGACTTGATCTGAGCTCCTAGGGTGGAAACGGACCAAAAGAGGAGGGGATCAGGAAGGCCAGACTCTAGCTCCCAAAGAAGAAGGAAATTTCCCCAAAAGCTGATCCCAGATGAAAGGGCTGTGAGTTCCTCCAGAGGCAGTATTGATCGTGGCCCCTTGGTGGGAGGAAGTTGTAGCCAGGGTTCGAGCAATGGCAAAGGACGCCCCCCATCCATGGGAAAAGGCGTTCAGAGTGTGGTGCGCACTCCCTCCGCTCTGGCAGAGACACCGAAGATGTTCATTCGGCCAGACTTTCGCTTGGTGAACACGGAGGATGGCACAGTAGTGTGTGCGGGAAAGGAGCAAAGGAAGAGGGAGGCAGGGGGAAAAGGAGGAAGCGGGGAGAGGGAAGGGTACTACGCCCTGGTATCACAACCTGCGGTCGCTAACCCGTCCTAGTCTCCTCGGTCTCTTCATTACAGGGAGTCCTTTCTTTCCACTGAGAACCAGGATGTCTGTTCGGTGTCAGCTTTACCCCTGGGTCTGGGGTGGTGGTGGATGAGGCGGGGGCAGAGTAGGGGACGTACTGCGGGTCAATCCCTTGTCCCCTCTGCCACCTTCCCCTGCGTAGCGGCTCAACATGAGCACAGAAGAGAGTTGGCTTCTTACAGCAAGACCAGCACACAGGTGAGGGATGGAGCTACTCCGGGCCTTGCACAGCCACGCTAAAGCTAAGCAGCCGGTCCCTGGTCTCTGCCCAGAGCGCGGGTGGGAGCCCTGCTAGCCTGGGCTGGGGGCGACAGACGGCCGCTAAGGGCCGCGGAGAGGGGCTCGGT